GCATGTAAGGTTACCGTAACATCCTGTCTGTAGTTTCCAAATGTTGTGTTGGAAAACATATTGTCTGCAAGAGGCAAAATTCTGATGCAACAGTGACAAAAAAATCTGACGAAAACCATGAAAAATCTGGGTTTGGCGCAGGCGCAGTACGACATGCTCATTAAACTAAAGCCCTGGTCACAACCCGCTGTACGTGCTTTTTGTCCATACGTTTTTTGGGAGGCTACATGTACGTCTGCTATGTTTTTTCTGAAAATGTGGGGAAGGAGTGGCGTCGACGCACGTCACTCACACGTCACTCACACAGTTTCGCAAGGTGTAAGAGTGTGGTCTATCTGCACGCCACGTCTGGCCGTGAACGGTTGCGTGCATCGTACGTTGCACAAGTGGTAAGTGAGTTGTACGTGCTTAGAACGTACGATCTCTGTGCGATTGCAAATTTGCCCCACAAAATGCAGGAAACAGTGTTCCAGAGGGTCAAGATTCAAAATATTCCCAGGGGAGCATGCCCCCTGCGAATGTGGAGCCTTCAGCATTTGACATGATGTTACATCAAACAAAATTGAGATGATGGGAACAAAATCAAGCTGGCTAGAACTTTGGTAGGCTACACATGTGGGTCATAGATCAAAGTGTACTAGTTTAAGATTATCAGTGTCATAAATCTCTTTCAAAAGCACATTATACTAATTTGTAATATATTTCTCTATCACTATACATGTATATGTATTATATATATATTCTTCATGATTTATAAAAGACTCCATACCTTTGCCATTGCAATATAACATTAATTGTAACTCAGTGGAAATTACTTAATTTGCATTTCTATGACTTAAAATTCTTCCTTGTATGTAATTTACATGAATCAATAATATGTTGCATTACTAAGGAAAGCCGCCAGGGCGCCCCAAAATGTTGTCACTTCTTGGATTGATCAAGACAAAATTTGATGAATAGTGGTTCTAAAACAACAGCACAACTAAGTAGTATTAAGGGAAACAAGGACAGTTTGGGCCAAAATATGAGCATTTTAGAGTTGATTCAGAATGTACCTGAATAATATTTTTTTTTGCAAATCAGAAAAGCAAATGAAGCGGGCAAATTCGATCACCAATTGATTAACTTGGCCTGGCCTAGCTAAAAGAATAAAAGTCGCAAATATAATTGGCCATGCATGTCATGGTAGATATTCTATTCTGTACTTACTCAGCCAAATATTACATATACTGCATTGTCAATACCTTGCTGCAGCTTTTAACTGAAAATTGCCCGAAGGTCCCAGACATCAGTAGAGGGAAAATTAGGTCAGCATATTGATCAGATAAAACCTGTAACTTCTCTCATAACTGGTCGTGTGTCTCTGTAGTGTAATTAAGCAGGTTAGGGACTGGGTCTCTGGTCCCACTCACTCTCCATATATAAGGCCACACCAATTTAATTTCTTGGTTAACGGATTTTTCTAGAAAAATAATGGAGCGGGCGGGCGAAAAAAATAAAAAGTAAAAGCAGGCTTAGGTATCCTATTATGGCCCAAAATGGTACGATAGGAGCCATGAAGTCAACACACCAGACTGGCTCAAAATTTAAACAATGAATTTTGAACTTTTAATGATACCATTGTATTGCAAGGTGGAATAACTGTTACAGTAACAACTACATGTAGGAAGAAAAGGACTGTTTTCAACTGTTCAGGGCAAAATATGAGCATTTTGCACGTGATTCTGAATTTTTTTTTTTTTTGCCAATCAGGAAAAAATGAAGCGGGCAAATCCGTTAACCAAGAAATTAAATTGGTATGGCCTAATGGACCCGGATTAAAAAGGTCGCCAGCACAGAGCGACAGAATGACACCACCGATTCTCGCGCTGGAAAGGTCGCGTCGTGTACTCCAATATGGTAGATTGGATGATCTGGGAGGTAATTAACACTGAGCCTGACAGTAACACAGGGCTGGGCACATATTGACCATATTTGTACTGCCATTGGTGTGATGATACAAAGGGCAATTCGGGACAGTCATTGACTTGCCAGTTGCAGATATCTCTAAACAGGGAAATAAGCGGCGGCTCCCTCATGTAACCAGCTAGCTCCCTCATACCAATTCTCACCAATTCTATTTATAATTAGTCTTTCTCAAAATGATCTTTTTCAAGTAAAGATGTAAAAACATAAAAACAATGCATTCTACTTTAATTTCTAGCATTACTGTTTGCAGATAGAAATATTATTAACATGCAATTTTGCGTGTTGAAAATATACATTGTTTTCTTCAACAAGAAAAGAAAAAAATTTAAATACATTTTTTTTATTTCTTTGTGTAAAAAATTTGTTGGTGCACTTTTGTGTTTCCTACATGAAGTTACTGTGCTACTGACGTCTACCATATTCAATTTTGCATGTTCTGGTTTTTTTTTTAATTGCATGTAAAATTTTTGCTAACATGCAATTTTTCATGTAAGGCCACGCCGATTTAATTTTATGGATGACATCCGCGCGCGCATTGATTTTCGCCTGTTCTCAAAAAAAAAAAAAAAAAGTCCTCCGAGGCCCTCGGCCGTCGGCT